CCTGTAGCCAGCAGGTGGCGCTATGACTATAACTGAATATGGGCATGCATTCAGGACAGGACTCCTATCAAACGTGAAGTTTGGGGCGGATCATACATTGTATGCATGAGTTATAAGTACTTTTAACAATTTAACATTACACTGACCAGATTTTGTGCCGATCTGATTAAATCTCTAGGAGGAGTTTGTTAAAATACAACGCCTGAAAATGGCAAAAACGACACACAATTTGCAGAGAAACTTCTAAATAACTGACTTCCTGTTTGGTTTCGGATTTTGCTCCAAGATACTCTTTTGTAGGTATCGGTGCATTACATGAGTCTACTGAATTTCATACATGTACACGAAACGTAGCTCGAGGCGCACTTCGTTGAAAGTGTATAGGTGGCGCTATCGAGCCGTTCTGCCACACCCACATCAGTACTTCCTGTTGGGTTTCAGATTTTGCTTCAAGATACTTGTTTGTAGGTATTGGGATGTTTCATGTGTCTACCTACATGTGTATAGGTGGTGCTATCGAGCCATTTTGCCACACCTAATTCTGAAGCCCATATCAGATGTAAATTTTCACCAGTTCTGATGCGTGTGCAAAGTTTCATGAGTTTTCAAGCATGTTTAGGCCCTCAAAAATCAGATTCATTTTGGAGAATAATAATAATAGAGCAATTCCAATTATAACTAACAATAACTAACAACTATACTTATAACTAACAATACAGTAATAACAACTGTGATGTCATTATAAATAATAAATAAAAACTGATGATAAAACTATAATGACAGTAATGATGATAACTATAACGATGACTAAAGAATGTTCTGATCGCGCTGCAGTCGCTTTAAATGCTCTTTAAAGCAGGATGGATTCTGATTGGCTGTCAATGTTTCTCTCAGATATTGCCCTGTCAGTGATTCCGGTGATGTATCACTCTGTGTTGTTATCGTTGTAATTGTGACGTGAACTCACCGTTCTCTTAAGAGTCAGAGCGATTATTACACCCTTATGGTTTGTTATCGTTCTTGGTGTTAAGGGACGTTTGGAGGAAATTAAACAGGAAGCACAGTGTGTGAGTCAATGCGTGTGTTTATTTGTCAAGAGAATCTCACAGAGGAAGTAATTACAAATCAACCCGATGAAGAGAAAGTAAAGCAGAGTGATGAGAGACACGCGATCCTGCTGCGTCACTCCTCCATCTACCCATAATCCCACGGGACAGTCTTCAGGAGGCATGAACGTGTGTGTGTGTGTGTGTGTGTGTGAGTGAGTGTGTGTGTGTGTGTGAGTGTGTTTACGGTGCCATCCAGAAGGGCATGGGCCGAGTCTGCGTCTGTGTTTTGGGCCGTGAGGGCGGCGATGAAGGGCAGCGGTACATCCATCCTGCGGCTCCGGCTGCTCTGAAGGGTCCATGATCCTCTTCTTCATCGGAGGAGTCTCCAACGTACGCCACCAGCCCCGTCCTCGCGCGCTTCACCTGCGGCTCTGACGAGAGAGACCAGAAACACAGACAAACAACACGCCACAGCAGCACAGAGTTAATCAAACACGGGATTGGAGCGCGACGGATGACAGCCGCACGTCATTTTGGGGCGTCCAATCAGGAGGCGGCGTCGAGGAGCCAGGCCCCACCCCCGCCGCAGGATCCGGACACATGAAAGAGAGGGAAAAAACACAGAGAAAGAGAGAGAACACAGAACACAAGAGAGACAGCCGTTAGTGCGGCAGCCACACGGCTGATAACATCACCGCTCTGGGGAGGAGCTTCACTCAACACATCTGACCAATGAGGGGCGGAGAAGCTGAAGCGTGTCATTTCCTGAGGAAGTGAGACACTTCAGCTTTACCTGTAGCTAGCGTACAGTCCTCCGCCGCCGCTGCAGCCTCACATCTGCATGCAGAGAGCCGTCAGCGTGAGTGATTATTAACGAGCTGCGTGAGGCGGCGGTCTTACCCAGGAGGCTCGGCGCTGGCGTCTTCTCGTCTGCTTTCTGAGCTCTCGGACCGCTGACTGGAGCCAGTGCACACGGAGGAGGCATGAGTCTACTGCTGCGCACACACACACACACACACACACACAGACACGATTACAAGATTTTGAGGAAAAAAAGGTTCCTACAAAAAACTCAGAACTGTGACATGGGATCTTGCAATTACCAATTTTTTTTTTTTATTCTGTGGCAGAAATAAGCTTCCATAGTGTCTAAACCTTTAACCTGTGTGTGTGTGTGTGTGTGTGTGTGTGTGTCTGACCTGTCTCTCTCTCTCACAGGCCCTGAGGAAGCAGCAGACGGGGGTCCTGACGCCTCAGAGCTGCCCACAGAGATGCCTGCACCTAAATTAGTCATATGAATGGGTCCATGCTATGAGCAGAAAAACACAACCGCATTAACACACACCCTCATTTACATACACACACACATCAGTGACTCATCATCTCTCACACACACACACACACACACACTCAGTCACAGACACTCACACACACACACACACACACACACA